AAAGAAATGTTTTGGTACAGTTTCGTCATACTACTATAGAGGACCTTAAAGCAGCGTAAGGTGTTTTTCACTGACTAATACTGGCACTATTTAGGGGAAAAAAAAGAGAAAGCTTTCAACAGACAGCTTTCTTACGGCGAATTCGGGAAAAAATTACAAACTGTAGAAAAAATTTTCAGTGTGAATACATTTCAATTAATGGTTCAACGCACGCTTCAATTATTTGTTGTATATTATGGTATATTGTAGAAAAAATCACTGAGATTAACACCACTTACTAAGTTGGTTTTCGAAAGAACGAGACCTTTTCTAAGCTTCGTGGCTCACCGATGTCTTTCCATCGTAAAGAGAGTTGATCTGCTAGTCACCGAGAAGTCAAATTATTTCGCTCGACCTCGGCAAATGATTCAGCTCTTGCAAAAAACCTTCGTAACATTATTCGAAGTGAATCAATAAATTCTCTATTCTCTCTTCAATGAAGTCTATTCTTCTCCTAGTCTATAATAATTTTGTTCGTAAAATCTTGTTCCATTATCTTGAAAATAACTTATGATGGAAGCGAAGTTAAGTAACAATTTCTTGAGTATAAGTTTTTTGTCTCGCTTGGATGAAAAGTGAACAAAATATCGCTAAGTGAAACTTCGTACCTTCAAACATTGCGACTTAACAATTTTATCCCGCGTCCTCTTCATGTCAGATATCTCCACTGTCTATTTCTCGGAAAACGTGATCACTGCTTAAAAAAAGAAATATTTACTAGCAAATTGGATTCTATGTCTCCCTTCTGACGTTTAGTCTGGGAGAATTCCGAGAAAATAGAGCATATGCAAAAATGCAATTGGGTATCGAGGAGAGGTCTCAGGGCTTAGTTTTCAGAAGTTTAGAAATGCTCCTCATGTCTCTATATATCTAACGTTTAAAGACAAAAAAAGGTTTTATTTCAAAAGGAATACAAAAGTACAAAAGGAGAAAATGATAGGTTGCTAGAAGAAGAGCACTCAGTGCATATTGTATAAACGACCTCGTTCTTGATATAGTTAATTAATTTAATGACAATTTCAAAGGCAGAACTTTTAATGGCTGGTTTGAAGCAGCAGCAATAAAAAGCGGCTCCGTCGGTGGTACACTTGATCAATCAACAAAAGAATCTCAAAGGCGGAAATAGCTAACGCTGGTTTATAAATCACTGGAGCTATTCGATCTATATACCTGTAAATGTGCACTCAAGGCACATGGTTTTAGGTTCACCTGTATCACGGTTGTATTGGATAAAATCTGCTTATCTTTGTAGTCTACCGCCTCTAATTTAAAAACCTGCACCACCGATCAAATTATGCCAATCACTTTCATTTTTTTTTTTGACTCTTTCTTTATCACACACACACAATGGAGAAAAAATGATAATAAAAAAATAAAGAATCCAGGCATTTCTTTACGCGGCTGCCAGTTTGTGCTGTAGAGACAAGACTGATTGACGCTTATACGAGGCAAGCATAACTATTAGAACAATACTCAGATATCAACCTGTTCATTGAAAGTGTCTCGGGTTGTAGTTTTATCATTCAAAAGGCTGTAATGATTATCATTCTATTCTACGTAGTCGTTTTGTTTGCGTTTATGCTTGCGTTGACCGTTTTGACCGTTAACCATGATCTGTAATCTCTCTTTTGATTTCGGCGAGAATCGGTTGCTTCCGACTGGTTCTACAACTTAATCAGATAAAATGAAAAGCGGAAAAAAGAGAAGCAAGAAATAATAGTAGGAAAAAAAACGTTAATTCGGTAAGCGCTTCAAGTTTGCGTGAGTGTTTACTGGTGTTTTGCTTTGTTTACAGAAAACCCATTGAGCACTATATGCGCCCCTTCACTTTATACTTTTGCGACTGAACCAGGAGCCCAGGATCTTGAATGCACCTTCGAAAACAAAACTGCTGTTGTACGATAAATTTCTACTTCATCAAGTTTCAACTTAGTTTCAGGCTTAGCAAACTTCATCGTAGAGACGATCCGCAGATGAACAAAAAAATTTTTGCCTTGACAATTCCATAACTCCACCTGTCAGTTTTCGAACAAGGAAACTTGCGACAGCGGAAAACGTGTCGATATGAAAATAAGATCGTGATGATGACTCGTCAGAGACACTTGCCAAGAGATGTGTTAAAAAAGGATAAAGGATTAGAGGAAGCTCCACTCTGGTAAAATTTCCTTGTTGAAAAACTTCCCTTAGTTTACATATTTTGCGGAAAAAATGTCCATCACAAGTCCTCCACCCGAAGAAAATTCCCGAGCGGAAATATAATTCAAAAAGACTCCTCAACGATAAAAGAAAAACAAAACACATTAATAAAAGAAGAACAAACCATAAAAGTCTACGACTAAGGGCTCTTTAATTAAAGTGATAGCATGGAAAGCGGTGGATAACTGTGACAATTAGTTTTATTTTACTTACGCATCCCTAGAATCCTTTCTTCCATTCACTGTGTCTACTACAGCGTCGGTTCTCGCGTCAAATTAAATTATATCTAGCTGATACAACTCAACGGACCACAGGAAGAAAAAACCAATTCTCAGCAAGGCGCAAAAAAAGTGGTACAGTTGCGGAATTGTCCGTTGTACCATGCAGTGAAGGCCTTAGACTGGAAATCTTCTACTTGGTGATATCAAGGGTCTCTTGGCTGTTTGTCTTAATTTAACTTTTCATTTAAGTGCAACCTTAAGTTCGTAGCTATTTTCCCTTTCGAAATAGCAAATAGTCAGAATCAAGAGTGCGCACCTCGTTAATTTCTCAATTAAACGTAAACACAGCGAACTACTTAATGAATTTTTTTAAAATTGCGCTGATTGCCGTAACCGGGGTGATACTCTTCCTCAATCACCTACATTTCCTCGATACTTCATTTTTGGTAAGAAAGCACTAACTAACTTTGGTGAGCTAAGATGTTATATATGGGTTGATAAAGCTTGTGTGGACACCCGAATCTATTTGAATCTTTCATTGTCATTACGTAACCAGAGGCTTTGTGGATACCATACGGTTCTCTAACTGTAAAGCAAGGAAACATCGCTTCAAGAAACTACTTCCTCTTAACGGAAAAAGGCAGCATAAAAAGAAATAGAGCCTTGAGATACCTCAATAAAACACCCCACAAAATTTGTGTAAATCATCCAAAGGTATTGATTACAATATAGGTGCTAATTAAATTCGATGACTCGTTGACATCTTCCTAAAGTAAATCAAATCATGGTCGTAATTATGAATTGGTTTAAAGGTTAGAGCAAGGACTTTTTGAAAACTTCCGTTTTAACTTATCCGTGGTGAAGATTGGTTTAAAAGGAGCGTAACTTAGTGATAAATAAGTGGAAGATTTGTATTTCTTTACTGTCGATAATTTAAAGTAATTTATAATTGTCTTCATTATTTCATTGAATGGAATTCTGAATCAATTTCAGCCAAAATATCTACACGGTGATAGAAAAGAGAACAAGAAATTCTTCAAAAAAAATTTTAAAATCACCAAACAAAGGAAACTTCTCAAATTAACAACTGGTTGTTATGACCATATTAACCGTCTTAGGGGAGAGAATGGCTTAATTATAAATGAACCACTTCCCTGGCGCCAAGTATCAAATGACGCACTTAACTCTAAGCTATGCCAGATGTTCGGGAAATTTTAAAATGGAATATCTTAGTTTATGCTTTTGTTTCGAATAAAAACAATCAGTAATTGATACAAGCAGGACAAAAGTATCACTTCAATGATATTGAGGAAAAATAGGTTGGCGTGCGGAGATTTATGTAGGCGAATAACACCATTCCGCAGAAACTGTTCACACTTAAGAACGCGATCTATCTAGGGACCTAAACCACCAGCCAGGTCAGATGAGGTGAAACTTACACTATCTTCTCCAAAAGATGTCGTAATAAAGCGCGTTTTACTACCCTTTTGCAATAGCGCATCAGTGCAAGAAATTACAAATATACAACTAAGGCATATGTTGAATCATAGAAAACAAAAATATATAGCTACGGAAGAAATTGTTTGTTTCTGAGGCCTCAGTTCTAGCTAGATGCCAGTTAAGGCTGCAAAATTATATTTGTTGTCAATGGATCTGTTGACACGACGGATTAGAAAAATGTCACAACTGGAGAGGAAAAACTAGGATGAAGACATGCTATAGATCCATATCTGCACTGCAAGCTCTGCTTAGGAACAGAGCAATTTTTAAGAGATTTTAGAGTCACATGTTTTTCGATTTCTATAAAACAATTAGATCTTCATTTGCTTGGGTATGTCCTCCAAGCCAAGTTCTCCGCGCGGTACCTATTATCGCCAATCGAGCGAGTCTATTCTCCTTCGTCTCACAATGCTTAGAGTCGCTAATTTTATTATTTGAAAGACTTATGTACAAACGTTGAGTACAAGTTGTTGGGCAGAAAATATGACTTCATGCAAAGCTAATAATCTAGTTACAAACATATAGATTTTAGAGTTTATGATAGAGCGGATGTCATGTTTATGTTCACTACATTGCGAGCTGCTGAGTTCTTGCCAGCATGCAAATCTCTCAATTATACCCAAGTTTTACAGTTGTTCATATGGTGTATCTTGGTGAAACGTTTCGAAATCTTATGTTGAAATATAATTCAGTGAAGAGTTTTCGAAATTCCGGCGTTTGACTATCTCTTACTTTCGTTCCCGATCAGGATCCAGACAGTTCAGGGTCAAAGCCTACTCGCGACCCTTTTCACAATTCTGACAACTCTTAAATACTTGTTGCTAGGTATAGCAGGCTGCTGTGTGGCTCAACGGTTTAAAACATCTCGTGTCATATGAAAAAGAGGGACGCTAAAGAGGTGTCTAAAATACCTGGGAAATTGTTTTTCACTTCAAAAAGTGGCTTTGTAATCCGTTTAGCTTGTTAAATATTCATTGCAAACACGAAATGCCTGTTTAATGTCTCAACAATGCGTGTGTTAATTTCATTTACGCTCTCTCGAGAAAACTGTTCAATTGAACCAAGGAACCACGGGAAACTGTGAACCTCTTTGTTCTTTGAGGTAGGTAATGAAAAGCCAATAACAAGAAGAGGATAAACCAAACTGTGCTAGAGCTTTCAGTAAGTTAGAGGTATTTTGCGATTCCTTTTACACTATTTTAAATAACAATTTTTCATGGAACACGTAGGAATGTACGACCACTACATTGCGATTCCCTTCGAAACTCTGGCAAAATTTGATAACTTGACTTTCGATTCTCAACAGTGCTTTTATTTGTCAGATGTGATACCGAAAACCTTACCATATTTTAGGGATACCTGAGAAAACCCTTATTTGTACTCTTTTTCGATACGTTAGGAGGACCAATGTCACTGGTCTGTGTCATAACTTTAGAAATAAACAAACATATAGGAGCGTGTGCTCCGATTACCCCCAAACTTAGAACGTGATCTACAAACTGTTCGTCACGAAGACATTCCTAGGAATTCATGTCTGCTAGAGAAGCACGTAAATTTTCGAAAGGCAGTTTAATATGTATCTGCGCCTTTTTTTCGAATCAAGATCTAAAAATATCGACCACCATAGAAACATGAGTATCGTGTCTCTAAAGGCCAGCTTATCTCGATCCTTCAAGGTATCAAATTTTGTGGTATTTCCCTTCAGGGCTTGTATGACATTTATAAGCTGACACAAACGTTTATTGCAAAGGCTTGCTGACAGACTTTCTTCTTTATTGGAGACACAATGTCCCGCTTGAAACACTAGAAAGCTATTTGATAACCCCACATAATGTGTCTTTTCGCACTAGGTATTATGTCCTTTAAATTATGCTTAACCTCCGAACCTGCTTCTTGTTTTGAAATACGACTGAAGACACACTCTTTAACTTCTTTAAAAAAGCAACTGATTTGACAAGGAATAAAAACTCTCTTACAAAATGGAATGTTTGGTAGAATCACGCCTCTCACCTCAATTATTAAACCACCTATGCGATTCATTTCCTCTTCAGGATATTTTTGACGCTTCTTGAAAATATAGTCGTGTTGTTTTTCGAATTGTCTAAGAAACCAAAACAAATGTTGAACGGGGCAGATCGTTTTAGGTCACAGTTTTCCTATAATGTGCGAGCTACCCGATATGAAAGCAGATAGTGTTTTACGAATGACTCGAAATGCGATCTTTTCGTTGAAAATTATTTGTACTCTAAGAGAAAAAAATGACCTTTCAGAAATGTTCACTATACTTCCATTTTCTTAATTTTTTCTTCACATGGTTAGGTTCTGTAAGTTTCAAAGATGTCCTCGTATTTATATTTCTTTATACGTGGCATAATTAATTCCACGAGTTATCCCTTAAACCCAGTACGCTGATTGAAGGGTGTTTCTTTACTGTCAGGTGTCAAAGAGACTTAACGCACTCGTACAGCCGCCCCACCAGGACGAAGAGCTAGAAGCTACAGGCGATCGACCATATCAGTTGCCAAAACGGAAAAATCGCAAACGGTAAGAACTTAGTATTCTTTAAGCCTTGTTATCATCAATGTAAAATTAAGAAGAGGTTTTTTTATGGGTTTGACGCCTCTCGTTTGATTTTTCGTTAGCTGGGAGCCAGTTAATTATGATTCGATATCGCGTGGCAAATCGGTCTCACGTATCACGCAAGTTCAAAACTTATCCCGAACCGCAAGAACACAACTTTGTAAGCGAGGATTTGATTTAACAACATTTGTATTTTAATGGAGGCAAAACGAAATTGGATTGGGTAAACATGCACTTGTAAAGGTGTTCCCGACAAGGGCTACTCTTATTAAGAGATGTTCTAGTTTTCGCTTTAAACATGATTAGAAATAATGGTTTTGTTATGTAGCTTCGTTCCAATTGCTTTACTCGAATTCTTATAACACAAAGCGAGACAAGCGACTGATCGTGCCATCAAGGGAAAATGAAAGTTGGAGTAAATAACTCGCGGGAAATTGCATGAATTTTTAAACCATCTCCCACACTTTCCCATTTTCAATATCTTGTTTACAAGAGAATGATTGTGGCGATCACCAAAGGCACTTGTCGTAGTTCAGATCTACAAAGTGTGCGCGGTTGTGTCTTTGGATAATAGAAATGTATTGGAAATTTTTAATGTGGATGGGAATGAACATTTTCTGCGAGAGGCCGGTAGCCGCCCGACCACGGTAGTCAGTTTGTACAAAGTACTTGTTTGGTTCACAACTGGTGGTAATTTTTCGCCAACCTACCAAAAGAGCCTAAATGAAATTTGCCACAAAAAAAATTCGACACTCACATCAAAACTAGTTTTTATTATTTGATCTTAAGCAAAATAATCGAGAGAATTTAAGTTTATCTCGCGGGTCCTAAATTCAACAAAGAAAGCCAGACGAGGACCCTGTAACAATGTTGGTTCAAACACCCTTGGCTTTAATAACTCATTCAACGGCAAATATGGAAGGCAAATGGGAGAGTACATTCTCGTATTGAGTCAACAACAAAAATACATTTTGCTTCTACACACATGTCCAGCTTGTTTGCCTATTAGTTGTAATTGTTGCATATGTTGAATCGATTTAAAAGTACTGCAGCTTAATACTGTCATGGAATTGTTCGGAAACACAGTGTTAAAACTATAAGACTAGCAGGAGTTGAATTATCTCATCACAGCTTTCCAGGGAATAAAAAGCGGTAATTTTTATTCATTCTTGAAGGGAGACTCCGAGCTATCAAAATCATAACAACCAAATTCTTTCAGTAGTTTATAAATGATAGTTTATATTATGATAAACGGCTTTACCAATTACCTCTGTTATCCTTTTTTACACTCATTTCATGTGCGGGAGAACTAAGACCCTAACCATTTACCGTGTATTTTAGTCGCATGTTAATCAGGAACGACGAAAAATAAACCTAGAACTAGATAACACCAGTACGGCAAATCTCTTAAAACTACTTTTGGTTGAAAGATATGTGAGAAATTTCACACTTTTAACATAGTCCTTCGAAAGTTAAGTAGTTTACATTGTGAAGGCAACAAAACTGTTCTCTGAGATTTGTAAGATGGCATTTGGTTTGTAAATAAAAAAGAGCCCAGATGAAATCGTAATCCATGGTTAAGAGAAGGCAAAAAAGAAAAAGAAAATGAAAACGGATTAACAATGGGGTTAGCTTGTTGAGCGGGAAGCATTTTATTATAGGATAAACAACTAGCGAACAGAAAGACGACAGAAGAAGATTATGAAAACGTTAACACGCTTTTAAATTAAATCTTGGAAAAAAAAAGAAATCCAGAAAAGAATGTTATTCCCATCCTACAAAATAACCGACTACCGAAAGAGAAAATAGAGGATAAACGAGGCCTTTTTCATGTAACTTAATACCCAGCGTTAAAAGCACGTTTTCAACGCCAAGGAACACAAAGGAGAGTGAAATTATGGTTTTCAGCGAAAATGAATGCGGATAAAACCAAATGTGGACAAAAGCACTGACTGGTTTACATTTAGGCTCTAATTGTATCCTTGACATTTTCCCGGTGGAGAGATTTATCGAAAGATACCAGCGAAATTGAAGGCGGGGCCATCCAGAGGTGAAGGAAAATACGCAACAAACTCTTAGCAATAAATCTATTAGTGGTGATCTGCGAAATTCAGTAACGCAACTCTTCTACCTAGGGTAAAACCTCTAAATGTCAATATTGCCAACGCAGCCCACACGGGCGATAACATCTGAGCTGATATCAAGGTAACCCTATATCGATATATCACAACTGGGAAATTACGAAGGCTACATTGACAGACATGAGGGCGGCTTGGCAAACCATCTGGTGTAACCAAATCGTAAAATAAATATCCAAGTTTAACATGTGTGTTGTGAGAGCCATAGAGGAAATATCTCTTCCTTTCATATTTTTAGAGTTTGATATTACTCCAGGTTTATCCTCTGACTAAACGAAGAATATCTCGAACCACTTGAAACGCGTTTGATTTTTGGAAATAAGTAAATGTGTATGATTGCTGCAATAAGAATCAGTGTCAAATGGTTACAACTTATATATTGTTCTAGCCCGAAGTATATTAAGACATCCTTTGATACGTACCGCTAAAGTTGAAATAGAACGAGTACATATATGGTGGCGATATCGTTTAATTAAAAGACAATTTTGAAACTGAATTGTATGCGCTTTAGAAGAAAACCATTAACTCGATATACACTCCTTGTCGTGTCGATCGACACGACCAGGGAAGGCACTTAATAAAGTGGCGCGGTTATTCAAATATCATCGGAAGGTATCGCTCATGTTGCAACTAATTGTTGTTATTCGTTAGCGAGGAATATCATTTTTAAAGAGCGCGTCTGATGAGGGCTGCAGAGATTAACTTTCTTGTTTTGTTGTTTTGAATAAGAACAACTTAGGAGACAAAGCAAGCGGTAATTTTCCTTAAACCTAAATTTTGGACATTCGGACAGACCTGCATTTTGCCTATTTTTGACTTGAAAATCGATTCAAATGGGAGTGAGCTCTCAAATTTTCAATATCGGCTAATTTGGATATCAGATATTCTAAATCGATTGACAAAGAAAAAAGATACGAGGGTCGTTAAAGAAACTTCAAAGTCGATAAAGAGGTTGGATTTCACTTCCGAATCGACCCACAGTTTGTCCTTCATCCTTCCTCACACAAAGTTGTTTTGCCACTATTCTATTAGGACACTGGAAAAAGATGGGACTTCGTGGCGCGATTGATCAAATAACATCGCATTAAGACTATGTTCCCAGGTGTAAAAGCTGACAAACGAAGTGTTGTTTCAAAAAAAAAAAAAAAAAAAAAAAGAGCAGGTTTTCACCTGTGATTAAAAGAGAAACTTTTCAAGCGCAGACTAAGGACATGGTATTACGAAATTCAATTATCATCATCCATAACAGAATGTCGTTTTATGTTGTATTAGCAGTAAATTGAAATATTTCTATACGTCGGGCATTCTATGATGCTGGGACAGGTGCTAGTATTGTTTTCCTTTAGCTCCATGGCTCTAACGCTATCTTTTTGGACACCGTTGGCCGAAAACTTTATAATTTAATCCTTGAAAATTTCTTGGAATAATCCATTCATTTCCTCTCATTCTTTCCAGTACCATGATTGATACACCATCTCGGTCCTTCTGAAATCATTGAAACGATTACGGTGAGAACTCGATGTAAAGAAAATCCTTCCTGCATAGCGCGCTCTTTTAACCTTGCAAATCCTCAAATTTAAAAAACGAGCGTACAACCCTGCTTCGGTTGAAAGTTGAGGTGAAGTTGTCACCACAACGACCAAAATGCACTGAGAGACTTTACAATATCAACAACCATAATTCAACTCAGAATGAGCACCCTTCTTTCAAGAGAAAAGATAAAAATTCTTTGATATAACTTTCTGAAAACAGTAACTTTTAGTTAAAGAACCAATCTCGCGACATCACTGTCTTTCAGAATTAATGCAATCTTAGCGTGAGGCCATCGAAATGAAACGTGTCATGAAATAATTTTGACCTGTGTTGGACCGTTTCTATATCGATATTTAAATTTTTTTTCATTGTAAACCTTTTCCCTCTTAGAGTACACAGCAGTGCGTTAACCTAAAATAGTTCCGAAGGATAATATTCTGGATAGGAAGGGAAATTGGAGTTCCGATATAAGACTGTACAGCCGTGCGAAACAATAACCCTTTCCTAAAATTATTACAGCTCCTTAGAGACTGCATAGCTCCATTTTCACAGTTAAGAGGCTGACAAAAGGACATCTAGTCGTGATATCGCATCCCATTCAGTGTCTTGAACGTTAATTAAGTTTCACCTGCAAAGAAAAATTGGCCACCCGCCATTCGGAAGAGCCGTGCTAGGCTTTCGCGTCTACTTTGTTTTATTCCACTATGAAATCAAAACATCTTCCCTCTGTTTTATCATGCTCGGACTCGACACGCAGGGACCGTTTTACAGAAGTATAAATCATATAAAATCTATGTCCTCGCTAGAAAATAGGAAATGATCGAATTTTCGTGGCCTCTAAACACAAGTGTTCATGTATAATTAAGAACGGGATTTATAAACCACTATTCTGCAACTGTTGCATACTTCAATCGATTGGATCACACTTGTCCCCGAAAGGAGAAAATATTTTGTTTTACAGTCCCAAAACTAAAACCGCGGAAGAATGACAAAACAGTAAAACTTATTCTAAAACTTAAACCTGACGCTTTTCAGATCAAACATCCGGTTTATCAGGGCAAAAAAAGAGAGATATATCTATATATATCAAACGACACAACGGGGACATTGTTTCACCTTCTTGCAGTGGGTGTAAGATGAGAATTCTCCTTTACGTTAAACGTCGGAGAAGACAATAAGCCAACGCTAAGCCTGTCTGAAACCAGGAAATAAAATAATAGTTTTATCGCAAGTAATAATTAGCGTTAAGCCATAATATCGACGAAAGCGGGTCCAAAATAAGCTGACACGTTTCCCGCACGCGACGAATGGTGTGGATTCCCACTTCGCTTCGATGGAAGGGACTTCAGTCAGAAAATCTTGGCGAAATCTTTAACCCAAAAGTATTGAAGCAAGACACTGTAGTAAAAAATATAATTCGTTTGACGTAATACCTCAGGTCCTTATCTAATATCGATACACATCCTGCAGGAAGAAAAATATTATCGACGAATTTCCTTTGGGAGCTTTGAGGAGATGACCTCAAGGGTACCTTTTAGGAGCAGAGATTTCAAACAGAGATACTAGAAGTGATAACAATTTACAACGTATGCGTGAAGTGAAGTAACATTTTTAATAAAGAAAACACCTAGATAAAAACAAGAACTTTCAAGCATTTTTAATTAGAATTGGAAGCATTCTATTTCGTTTGTGGAGAAACAGATGAGTCAATGTTGTGGGTGGGCTGGGAAAAAGCGCTGTCACCATTTAAACATTTCTGCCAGTGGTTTTAATTTTTTTCAAGCCCGATGTTTAGTCGAAAATAATCGTATTATGATAGCGATCTTGTAAACACAGAACTTAAAATCAACTGTTTGTACTTCCCATGTGGAGAACAAAGCTCCAGTATGACACCGTCCTGAATTTTGATGGAAAATGTTTAAGAATTGAAGCATAAAAATAGACACGAAGAGGAAATTTTGAAATTCCAGTACCCACGAGTTAAATATAAAATTTCAAAACATCCTATGAGTTGATACAATTTCAACGGCATGAAACCAAAAAAAAATTCAAAATGAAGAGGGAAAGCCTGGTAGCACACGCTTGGACTGTCATTGCAACCTGCTCCTAATGGCCTGTCAAACATTTCATAAATTATTCATTTCGTTTTCTCTCTCTAATGGAAAGGCACACTTAGCGAGTAAGAATAAAACGTCTCAAATTACACAGTTTTATGGCTTTCTCAAGACAAGGAAAATGTGCAAGTTGAATTAAACAGATAAGTTGTGTACTTTCGCATAACTTCATTTTCGCATGTAATCCTCCTGATAAATAAAACGATTCGCCTTTGAGAACTCTCTTCACGACCGAAAAGGCATCTTTGCTAAATTGCTTTAACAAGCCTATCTGATCTTCAACAAAAAATTAAGTGATGAGATTAACACTGTAGCGGAGCGCGCCAAGTTATAAACACTACCCTGGATTGCCGATGTATTCGTCGCGATTTGCCGGTTAAATTCGAACACCACGCAAAACCTCATGCAAATTGAAGGACAAAAAATGATCTCCGGTAATTTTGAGCTTCCGACTAAAATGCGGGTGAACTTTTTCCGAGAATGTCACGTTTGTAATTAAGGAAAGTCTACGAGCTATACATGACAAAACCTTACATCTTTTAAAGCATTATTAAACATGTTGCTAATTATATTTGGAAAATGTATGTTGTGGTAAATTTTGAGAGATAGTTCACCGTTTAGAATTGAGTAGATAATTTTAGATTCTCAAGATAGAAATACAAATACGTAGCCAAGATTTTAAGAAATCAAAGTTGTAGTTTCCTTTTTCCGATTAATTCTTGTTAGTTCTGGATAAAAGGTCTTTTATTCGGCTTCTAGGACAAAATAAGAGTAAAAGTAGCATCTAAACCCTCAATTTTCGCAAACCATTCCTTGGTCGTGATTCGCCTGTGGTCTCAGGGTGAAGGAAAAGGTAAACGGGGAACAAATAGGAAATCGCTCTAACAAAAATTGGATCGGCTCTTTATTTCTCTTTTTTTTTCAAAACGCAAAGACGAAACAACAATCTGGATAACACCTGGATTAGCAGAAGAAGACAAGCCATTGTTTAACACGTATTTCGTTGATTGGTTTGGCTGTCATTTCGACAACGACAAATTTGCAAAATCAATAAACACTACCTTTGTTCGTGCCCGTCTCTCATAACATTATTAGCCTTCTAAATTAGCATCTTTTGAGTAATAGCGCGATGTAAACAATCTAGTTCTACTCCCTTACGTCTACCTTTCTAAAAGTTGCCATAACAAATAGTCTCGGGTAAGAAATACGATCCAACTATAGGGTTACAAACATAACAATTCATGGCAGATAAGCTGTAGAGTTCAAATTTGTCAGGCTCGCCACCGTATGTAGTTTTTAAGATAAATAACAATCCAAAAAGCGAGGACGAATGTAATTGCGTTTAAAGCTTGTCGGTAAGCCTTTCTTCTCAAGGACCCATGTTCCAGCGGAAGTGGCAATTTTTGAAGACGCAAAGAAAGCGATTGACATTGTTTCTATGGTGTTTGATTAAAAATCTACTGAAAAAATATAAACCATCTGGATGGCGAGAGTTGGCCAATCACGACTCAGGGTTCAAGTTCTAATCTTAATTTAATAATGACATTGTCACGCCAGTGAATGAAAATTAGTCTGATGGTTAGTGGGTGACATTGGCTTTTTAACTGTGTGCAATTTGATTCCAACCAGCTATAAAGAGCGAGTACCGTCTTAAGTTCAGACAAATAGACAATACAAAGAAGTGAAAGGATAAACTGTAACCGGCAGAGTAACACCCTCCAAACAACAAAGTATGCTGCCAACATTTAGTTTTACACCGGAGCAGGTAGCGTGCGTGTGCGAAGTACTACAGCAGAGCGGAGACATAGAACGTCTCGGAAGATTTCTTTGGTCTCTCCCAGAATGCGAAACCATCCAGAAGAACGAGAGCGTGCTAAAAGCAAAGGCAATGGTTTCCTTCCATCAGGGAAACTTCCAAGAGCTGTATCGCATACTGGAAAACAACACGTTTTCTCCAAGTTCGCATCCCAAGTTGCAGTCGCTCTGGTTAAAGGCGCACTACATCGAAGCAGAGAAACTCCGCGGTCGGCCGTTAGGAGCCGTGGGGAAATATCGTGTTCGACGCAAATTTCCATTGCCGAGAACAATCTGGGACGGCGAGGAAACTAGTTACTGTTTCAAGGAAAAATCAAGGAACATATTGCGAGAGTGGTACTCGCACAACCCATACCCATCGCCTCGAGAGAAGCGCGAGCTTGCTGAGGCAACAGGTCTAACCACTACACAAGTAAGCAACTGGTTTAAGAACAGAAGGCAGCGGGATAGGGCAGCGGAAGCCAAAATAAGGTTTGTGTCTCGCTAGTGTGATGCCCATCTATTTATGGCTTGTACTCATGATCGTTTACCTTCACCTCAGTCACTTTGTATAGCTTATTTTGTCATACAACACTAAATTAGCCAGCCCATATGGGCATAAACTCGCCCTTGCGTGCAAGTTAAACATCATATTTTTAACTTTCAATTTCGCCTTGATCAGGGAATTTATTGAGCTACTCGAGGGTCGGAAGTTGATAAAGCGACTTAAACTGTAACTAGCTGTTCATTTCATGCAAATTTAATTTTCTTCAAGAAGGAGGATCATTTTCATCATACATCAAACATACATGTATACATAACCGCGTGTGCCGAAGGAAAGTGACCACAACACCACGCAATGAGATTTCCGCGTTCACGCTCGTTGATTTACAATCTTGCCAAAGAGAATCGGATACGAGAAAATTCTCATTTGATTTGGCCCTCCTCTTTTGATAACACATTTAAAACAACCAGCTTGCTCGCTAGTCGATTGACAACTTGCGATATGGTTGGCAGCCTCTACTTTCCACAGTGCTTAGGGTTGCATGAGAGGCTTTCGGTCGATATCATTCCCCTAAATTAGTCGCTATTTTTGATCGACAGGGAGACTCGATACTTGCAACGACTTCTTATCACTTGCGATATTAAAGAAGCTTAGAAAGACCGAGTTAAAAAAAAATTTAAAAACCGGTGTACAGTATGACAGAGCGCACATTTATTTAATAAGTGTTCGTGCTTGTTTGTCATCGTAATGGTTGCCTTTGCACGATTTCAAACAGGGAATCAACGGTGGACATAAGAACCAAGCAGATGTTAAACCCTGAGAAGCAGGCGATGCTGAATGACGTGAAAAAGTGTGGTATACCCGACTTCTCCCAATGCATGAATGGATCACATATACCCGGCACTCACACTCCTGTTCCTGTCAAACTAGAAGTGGATGACCCTACTCTAATGGCTGCAATGTCGCATGAGCCTATGGCGCCCGTTTCGGGGACTGAATTCACCCATGGACTTCACGACAGCCACATGCTAACTACGTTAACAAATTCTCTCGTAGGACTCTAAATGCACCACGCTTTAGGAATTGCCAATGAGACTTAAGCCTTTCTGCAGCTGGTTACGTCGTTTGAACGGAAAAGAACCCGTCTTCTTCTCTTGCACGGGAAAATCTTTCCAAATGCCACAGCTTAGAGAATTTTTTTTCAGTTTAATAAGATATTTAGCATAGCTTATAAAAGCGTAGTTATATTATAATTAGAAACTAAAGCTAAACCATTGGGAAATTCGACAATAGCTGCCTCGTACTTGGGGCACAATGAACTGTTAAATAATAGCTTCATTCATACGCGAAGTTGTGTACAAGGTAAACACCGACGCAAGCTTATAACCTTGCATGCGTATCACGCTTAAAACCAAAACGTCGGTATTGCGTACCAATAAAAAAGGTCATGTATCTTCAAAAGAATTATGTGTATAAAGCAAATGTTTTCTTGCAGTCATGTTTAAAGTACTATCACCTTGTGTTATTCCATATATTAATCTTGTACAGTATTCTTTCACGAGCGACCAGTTGGTTGAAAGCAACTGTGGCGTCCTTGTTAAATGTCAGACGACTTCGCTGTACACCTTAATTTGCAGTGGAAATAAAAATCCCCAGAATAACATGACGTGTAGTGCATTAGCTTAGCCAACGCGACCTTTCATGCGATAAGTTTTATTATTTTCCGTTAAATATATTCAGTGGTTTCTCGTTTTACATGCGGACATCTTCTCAAATAACGCCATATCACTTTGAGGAAATTGAAAACCATTTAAGAGAACCCACAATATATTCAAGTACGCTGAGTTCACTCAGCGTCGATCGTCTAAAAAGTTAAGAGATTTGTTCGTTCAAAAGGAGAGTGACTTATTTTTAGGGGCTACATGTAGACTTCTAGCCAAATGCACACCGATTAGCTTACATATTGAGAGGTTACTGTAAGTTTGACTTCGTAAATACAACTTGATTCGCTGCGTTAAGGATGTTCCATCATTGTTATTTTTACAATAAATCACAATGAGCGGTGCTTAAGAAGGAAATTTGGGCAATAAAAAGATTGGGTTTCTCTGGCTTACGCGTTATGATTTCAATCAGGGTCCAAGGTCTCAGGATCGAGCGCAGAGTTCTCGCGCTAGTGGCGCCGCTGAGAGGCAAATCGTTCAACCTTTCGCCCTTTCTTTATAGCCGAAACAAGAGAAGAAGAAATGAAAGTAGCTCGAAACAAAAAAAAGTAATTGTTTTATTGTCTGAACAAAAGGCTGACACTAGAGGAGAAGAGGGAAACTTTTCAAATGATTAGCACGCGCGTTGTAAAACTATATTACACCCGTCTGTCCCGTGCGCGGAGCTATGTTTCGTGACTTGGGCGTGGGGGCTCGTCCAAGAGCTCGCTTTATCAAGCGTCATAATCATCGGCGACGACAGAAGCTGGGCGCTAGGCCAGTAAAAATGCAGTTCAGTCCCCCAGGAGGTTCAAACCACAACACTCCTTTATCTTACGCCGTTTTCCCGAAGTGTATTTATTTATCTCGTCCATTTTCACACAAAAGCACCGTAATTCACATGTATCTTGGGCTTTTGTTTGGCGCTCGCATCTCTTTAAATAAAGCAATTAAAGCACAAAAGAAGCATTGTACGCTTTGAATAGCATTTATCAAGCAAGCACATGTCAAAACACATGTTAACAGCAGCTACTATTTTAAGGTTTGAAGCACGCAAAATGGAGTGAAAAGAATTAAAAGCATCGATTCGATTGATGCTTACACAGTTGGAACCTGTGTGATCGCCTGGTGACATGTTTTTACAACGTTGAAGAAAAACACACTGAAGACCAGCTTCAAAAATAAGGCAGATAATAAAGAGAGATTGATTTAAAGAGCAAAATGAACTTTGAAGCTCAGAGGGAGTAGTTACTCTTTCCGCTTTGCCCACGCAGATAAAATTCCAAACAGAAGAAAGCTGCATTTGCGACGGGAGAGTACGAGTGGGTGTTTCACCGAGAACTGGGTCACTAGAATATTCGCTGGTTTTCTAACGACAAAATATATTAAGAGGAGACTTAAGGTCTGGATTTTAGGGCTACGGTAACACGATGCTTTTAACCAGTCAGGTTTTGTGTATTCAATTGAGTGGTAATAGCGGAAGCCTAAGAAAGCCACATGATCATATCTGTAATCCGAGTATCCTTTTTCGCCATTCCCGCAAACAAACAAATGTCCCGAAGTGATAAGCGAAGAGCTAATACACACATGCGGTCCACGAACTCAACCGCGGCGGAACCGGCCTTCCATGCCAATAACAAAAATTAAACCCGAAGAAAATGAAAGAAAAACACACATTTAGCTGTCTTGGTCATTTGTTTATTCGCGTTAAACGTTTAATGCTTTTTTGTTTTTTATTAAGACAGTCGGTTAGTTTGCTCAGTGCATTCCCTTTATTGACGCAGTTAGAGCGGTTACATGGTTACATGATAGCCAGGCACATGTGCCTGAGACTGCTACAAAAATAATGATGTCATAATTTATGAAAAGAAAGGCAAGAGTTGTAAATTCTTTCAGCTTGTTTTCGAAAGTGCTTTCAAGATCTTTGTCAAAGGAGCGGAACCCACATGAGCGGCGCCTGAAACAATTATAATTTAGTGCCGGCGTACAAAATAAATAATAAGAATGCGGTAAGACTAAACACGAATTTTTCTCGTCGAATTCGATTAATTCTCTCAGGGTATTTACTTTACTGCTACACATACAAAATTCCTGCAGACAATGTGGCATTAAACTATATGAATAGTTTTCTGGCGGCGCCTGTTACAGGCTTAATAGGTCGGTAAAAAACACAGAAATAACGTAACATTGTGCGCTGATTTTACTTTCCTTTCTTTACGCACCCGTTCAGCGGTTTTTGTCCATATTTACATTTACTAAACCTTCCTTCAATAAAAGATTGTTCTTTATCGCATTTTCTTTTACCATGGCCGTCTTGGTAAACAGATTTTCAGATTGTATCCTGTTTGCCTAAATCCTCTTCAACACCAATCGGTCGCGATAAATTTACCCTACAAGATACAAAGCGGCAGATTTGAAGAAACAGTAGAAAAATTTACATAAATCCATTTTGATTGTAAGAGAGGGTACGGAAAACCTATAACTTTTACAGCGCAGACTGTGCGAAGTGCTTTAAAAAATCAGGGAATTTCCAATACGTGGTAAAATTAGATAAATGGTTTTAGTGATTGTATTTTCTAACCAAACATATACACGCATTGGAAATCAATCAGTGCAGAAAAAGGGAAAAGCCGCTTGTTTCATGTTTTTAACAGCATTCGTTAAATCAGTTCCAGCACTGCTAAGTCAGACGGTTGACTAAACTTCACTTAGTGATTTATAATTATTTATATTCAGTGTTCTTTCCTTGTGTCAGCAGTTAACCTGATAAACATAAAACACAATTTGTGAGATCAAGTAGGAAGTCATGAAAGCCTGCGTTTCTGTCTTGTACTCACCACAATACCACAATATATCCACAACATAGCTTCTCAATAAATACACCGTACGGTATCTATATCTTCTACGGTTTAAGCAGTCTTTTCTATCATTTTCCGATAACTTTTATACAACAGCAAATTTAGCCTAGAAACCGCGAAGTTCCAATGAAAACTCCTCCAAACCATGTAAAAAAGATAACGCTTTTCATTTACTTTTCATGGGATAATCTGCAGTGTAAGATTTCTTTTTAAATTCCACGACAAAAGCTTAAAAAAAATTTAGCAATACGGTCCAAAATTCACTTACTCGAGTTTCTCGTCATACGAGGATTTGTGTGCGTTTAACCAGCGATTTAAAATAGAAACCCCGTATTTGTCAAGGCGACACCCACTTTTACACGAACAACGTTAATTTAAAGAAAATATTCAGAACATTGAATGAAATAATGGCTGATGGCGTAAAATATATTTGAGCTAGAGTAGTTAAAGAGGCAGACGAGTTACCGTGAGATTTGTTTGCTTCAAACAAAGGACGAAGTTTAACTCGTACAATGAACATTAAATTCACATTTGTGGCGATAAGGCTTGAATAACGTAAATTATTCACATTTACAGTTTTTTTAAATAAAGAGAGAATTTTTTCAACAAAATCGATTTACATCATGATCGAATGCTATCAACCCTTTAACTCCCAAGATCTGATTGTTAATTCTCCCCTCTAGCAGCTACACATTTCCTTGTAAATTGTTTATGAGGATTTGGTGTTTAATCAAGAAAATATAATAATGTACGGATACTACAGGGAGAAGTTACATGTTTATCACTTCTGGGAGTTTAAGGGCTCAAAAAATAATAGAGCAAGTTTTTTCGAAGTAACCTCTGACAATCCACTTTTTTCTGTGAACATTCAAACAGAATATCAAAAATGCTAACATGGACAAATGTTTAAAAAGACTTGAAAGCTGTTAACCAGCATGTTTAAGAGCTTTTTGTTGCGTGGCAATTGGAAGACATTAGCGACCGCAAAGTAACCTTAATCAATGACTTTTTCCTTTCACAGTTTTATTACGATGATAAAATATTTACAAAGGAAAAGGAAATGTAATCTACAACATTCCCCCTTTTTATAAATTGGTATCCAGGATGAAATTACAACATAACGCTTAACGAAAAGGTGTCAATTTTTGTGAGTAAGCTTCATGGAAAAACAAACTTTAATTTTGAAAATGCGAAAGATGTTATTTGTTCAGTGTCCCTCCTCTTTTTTATCAAGTACAAAAACACAATGCCACACTGTTTCCTTTTGTAAGGTTGTACTTTAGAGTTTCTGTTAGCTTTGCTCACCTTTTGCGAACAAGCACAGGCGCAGAAAACAATAACTGCGAAGGATTTAGCAATAGCACTTTGTCACCTCTATAGGACTATTCTCTTCTTCCTTGTCAGTCTGTCCTGTGCAAAATTCTTGAAAATAAGACAGGTTACCCTAACAACAAACCATTTTCAATAACACACTACCCAGTCCTTTTCAAACAAGTTATTGGGACGTGATTTTCCACTGTGGATGACAAATGTTCAGTTTACAAGAGTCATGGCATGGAAAATTATGTCATCCTACTATTTGCCATGCACGCTTCTTTGAATATCATCGAATGACAGCACGTATCCATGGGGAGATAACTTTCTTTATCCAGGGCCCAACAATGTCGCCAGTAGAATCTTAAACAAATGTAAATGAGTATTGTACCGGCAAATGTAAATTCAATACGACACGATAGACGTTTTGCGTCTTAACATTCTGCCCTTTATGCCACAGCTTAGTTTTTGCGCCCAGCTGCATTCTTTCAGAAAAAAATACCCATCCCGATAATGGCAAAATCGCAAACGAGGTCTTTCCTCGTTGATTTAATTCCCAGGGTAAGAACGGGGGAATAAAACAACACAAAACAAACCATCAAGTAAAGTAAAGGATCAAAAGACTCGATTCTGTCTCTCTGTATGTAGTTCAAACTTAAGTCGAAAAGAGGCATTAACCGTTGATTTTACAAAAATCTAGTGAGAGAACTACGAGAAATACGGATGAACTTCCAAATTTCTCTTATGCAAAGGGGATTACATGAATGTCAATTAAACTCGGATTAATAACTGAG